TACTTTATGTAACAAAATTGTTTCATTGAAATACGTTTCTGTAATTGCAATGCAAATAATGTATCAAGCGAATGTAATGAGACAGGGAATTTTGAAAATCTAAAAAGGCGTAATTAATTTAATGTTTTTGTATTAAAAACGGTATCAGAGCGGACTATCATTATTTTGAGACTAATTAACCGGTGTGGAAAATATATTAAAATAATCATAGCGTGTTTCATTGTTATCGACTTGTTTAACAAATTAGACATAATTACACAGTCTACGTAACGGTTCGGTCTGTGTACACTTTTCACAGAGTCCATTCCGAAACGCTGACATCAGCGGTCGTTTGAAACCACAATAGTTCAATAGGCATCGAATGGAATTCGAAGAGTACATCAAAACTAATTCTAAATGTACAAAACGATTAATATTGGCACCCGTACAAATCTATATACCTACATTTGTATTGAGCAGTGTGTTCAAGTTTGTACAAACTGCTCAATACTAATGCAAGGCTGATACGCAAATGTTAAGGAGCAAATTAACATTGATTTCTCCGGATTTTCCTAGTCCTTTCGTGGAACGTTCTCGGATAGATTTCGATTGAAAACTGATTGGAAGAGCATTTACTTTGAAGCGGTTTACGAGACTAGCGACGAGACTTTTCATGTTTGTTAATTTATAAAATAGATGTCGAGTATAACATATACTTAAAAAAAGTAGGTGCATTGCTTTATTTAAGTAGACGTCAGTAAAATTAAAAAAGCCTGCATTAACAATGATGGTCAGTGCCTGTGAACGTGAGAATTACAAAATATAATAAAATGAGATAAAACGAAAATGTCTAACGTGATATCTAAAATAAAATATGTTCAATGAATGAATGATACAACAAGTAAACGTTTTCTCATTTATGAGGAGCAAGGCAGATTGATTTTCTTGTTTGATGAGAATTTTATTTTTTTGTTAAAACATTGCCCTTACTTTGGGATAACATTATACTGTGATGTAAGGACGTTTTTACAAACATAAATTTCACGCGGGCAAACGCCCAGATGCGGAACAACTATCTGTGGGTCACAAAAATAGTTGTCCCGTGTGAGAATCCAACCCACTACCCCCGACGCCGAAGCCGATACCTTGGCAACTGCGCCACGGAGTCATCAAATTAAACGTAATTATTAATTAAATAACTATACAGCCTATCTAATCAATAACGGAGTATTGTTTCTAACGGGGTATTGTATAATACAAAAAATCATTTTGCATTGTATGTCCACGAAGGTATTATTTACCGGTCCGGTTCTTAAAACAAAACCCCACTTTCGAACCGGTTACATAGATCGGCACGGGGCACAGATAAAGATTTATGACGATCCGCACACATGTAAATAAAACAAACAGCGCTACGGTCCTGGGACATAAGAGTCGCTTTGCAAAATCAATTATATACGTACACAATGACGTCAGTTTTGGGAACGAGCATCCATGGAAAAGTCACACATCAAAGTCGTAGTCTGAGCCCGTTTGGAGTACACTCGAGGGAAGCTCTAGGGAGAGCGCACGCGTCCGACCTCTATGGGAGATTGGCCGTCACTACATGTTGCAAGGCGCAGGCAATGCCGGTTGCGTTGGACCGACTGGCAATAACGACTCGAGAGGATAGCCTCAGCTCACTGCATGAATCCACGCAAATTTTGGGACTTGCGCGTTCGTATATCGAGCAAATGCTTTGCGCGAATATTCGTACATGTCGCGAATGTTTCTCGAGGTTTGTAAGAACGAAACGCGCCTAGTGTGACCGACACACTTGTCACAACAAGCGGTGAGCTTGTCGGCGTAAAGAGACGATAGCATTTGTTTAAAACTCAAAGAGTATGACTATGGATACCAATATAATCTTAATTGACGACCCGAATGGCGTAGTGGGTAGTGTACCTGCCTCCTGCGCCAGAGGGTGTGGGTTCGACCCCCACTACTGGAAAAATATTGTGTGATGAACATGGTGTTTTTCTAGTGTCTGGGTGTTTCTATATGTATAATATGTATTTATTTACAAAAGAAAAGTATGTTTATCAGTTTTCTAGTACCCATAGTACAAGCTTTGTTTAGTTTGGGACTAGAAAATGTTGTGTACGAATGTGTCCCAAATATTTATTTATTTATTTATTTTAATTTATTTTTATTTTATTCAGTATAAAAATATTGCCCTTACTGTAGGAAAACATTATCCTGTGTTGTAAGGACGTATTACATATAAAAACTTCACGTTGACGAACTCCCAGATCCGAAACAATTATCTGTTGGTCACACAAATAGTTGTGTAAGAATCGAACACATGACCCCCGGCGACGCTGCCTTGGAACTCCGCAACGGGATCATCAATTAAATAGGTATTATATAGTAAATCTTAATTTAATATTTACTATTACAATTTTATACGCCTTATTTGGGTAATATCAGTTACTAAATCACTTTAATCCCTTATAAAAGAAATGTTTGAACACAAAAACCCAAATTGAGTTAAAAATAACCAGCAGTTATGACCATTGACACGCCAACCAAAAATATTGCTTCGTATCTTTCACAGAAAATTGCCTCTTGCACCATGTGGCAAGATCAATTTAACAGCTATAAGAATTAGCCGTTGGCCAACTACGGTTGTTAGCGGTGAAATTGTTTTTCAATTACAATATCGTTGGGACAATAACTCCCATGACAACAAATTCGGACTTATAACAAGCTTGTAAAATGTTTTTAAAATTATTCCTGGCTAGTCAAGAAATATTGTAGGATTACCATCTTAATGAAAAAAAATATCACCAATTGAATTTTTCTATTTATGCGAAAACTATACATGGTCAAATGATCTATTTTAAGGATTTTATTGCATATTATTTTAATTTTAAATTCCAGACGCGACGAAGTTTCTAACATTACACTGCATTGTCGAGTTCGTGGACTACCGTTACACTACAGAATGTTGTACTAAACTAGACGAATTTCTTCAGGCTAAGTTTGTTTTATATGGAATTTCATATAAAGTTACATATTGAAAATATTCTGAGACGCTCGAAGAAACTTTATACAATAAACTTAAGTAACGAAAAAGTCAATAAACCCGTTTCCCGAACGGTTCGAGCAAATGACAATATATGAGAAACAGTAGCGTTAACCAGTAACTAAGATGTAGATGTCTGTAGTTATGTTTAAGAGGTCAGGAACGCAGAGAGTAAAACTCCGTAAATTGTAGCTCTATATCTCAGTACCAGGTAATGGATGGCAGGTTATTTTTTGTATACATTTTGTGCAAATCGCAAACACTCCGTGTGTTTTTCACTAAAAACCGACATAGCACAATGTGAGGGCGCTCGCTTTCATCAATTAAATAATTAATTGGGAAATTCCATCATTTAAATAATTTTCATTCAACAGTGTAGTCGAGCGTAATATGCGATATATGTGTGGGGAACTGTGCCCTGATATCTTCTGTCCCTAGCAGACATAATTATATATATATATATATATATATATATATATATATATATGTATTTTTTATTTATTTAATCTTTATTGCCAACCTTCAGTAAAACAAGGTAACAAAGGGCGGACTTACCAGTCAACCCAGGATGTGGTGAGAGTTTATGGTAGGTGCAGCAAAAGGTGCAAGAATAATAAAATTTTAATTAAAAAGAAAAAATTAAATTAAAAATATGAAAATAATATTATAATTGGATACAAATCATATATTAAATTATATACATGCATATATATATATATATATATATATATATATATATATATATATATATATATATATATATATATATATATTCAAATATTTAAATATACATAAAGATATATACTTGTATAAATAAATAACAATTAGCTTCTACTTTTAACTACAATCCATATTTTAGGTCGAATTTGTCTTTAACAGGTGTTCACGAACCAGTATTTTGAAAGATGTCTTACTTTTTGCGACTCTTACGTTATCGGGCAAGGAGTTCCAAAGATGTATAGCTAAAGATATATAGGCTGTTACTGAGGTGAGGAGGGTGTTTGTGAGTTTGTGTGTGTCACCCTGAGAAGTGAGGGAGTCTTAGGTGTGAGACAGTTAATGATTAAAGGCAGCAGCGCGCGAATAAAAAAGGTACATTACTAGAACGTGAATCGACAAATACAAACAAAAAGTGTTCTAAATAGGCCCTTCGCTATTGCTCATCGATGGCGCGAAGCAGACTCGGCGCCTAACAGAAGCGTAAAACGAATAAGACCGCTGCAGACGCCGACATATGGCGCGTCACAGGAAATTGCTTAGGGTCTACTTATAAGACGGATCTTTCTGCCAAGAACATTCTTAAGAACTTCCTTACGTCCGTTTCTTCATAGACAAATATGATATGAAAAGGTTGTACAAGTCACTGAAGAATTAAAAGATTTATTTGAATAGTTAACGTTACGATCACATTATTACACCATAAATAATACTTTATGGCGCTTAAATGAATACTAATTGGATCTGGGCGACTATTTATCATAAAAGCTCTACTACATACATTTATTATGTCAAAGTTAATGTATGTGCATTAATTATTACAAATTTATTGATTAAAAATCTTTAACACTGCCTCAACTAATACTTTCCACTCCAAATTAACTGTCAGATATCTTACTCTAATTTTTCATGTGAAAAATACGTCACATAACATTGGCAGACATCTATTAAGAGAGGCCATTAATCAAAGAAGAAGACTTGAAATAGGGTCGCTTTAGTAAGAATGACACATTTTCTTGAAATCGAGTCACACTAATAAGAAATGAATGAAATGCTTTATTCTATGACCCCTTTTAGGTAACGCTAAGTTATGTTAGTAAAGTTATCGTAACTTTGAAGCAGTGGTTTCATAAATCAAAGCAGACGCTCGCATTTCAATACCGTCGCACGGCTTTCGGCCTGCCCATTGCCGTTGAAAGGAACTGTCGTCTGAAAACGCGGGGCCTTGGTGACCCAGATGCGGCAGGGAGGCTGCGTGGAGGCGGGCCGACGCAGAGGTCAGTGCGAGTTACCCACAACGCGCGGCCCTGACACGGTGACCATATTCCCGGCCTGGTACGAAATTTGACGTATAGTGAAGTTGGCTCCGCTAAATATGCGTATATACCTACTGCTAATTGGGAATGGACTAATCGTATAATTACACAAAACTATAAAATGTAGGACACGTTACATCTAAAAGGCCATACAGCGTGTACCGTACACTACACTGTAATGACTTGCATAAACTTTTTTATGTTCGATTTCTATGTTCGTTTTTTTACATTAACCCAAATGTACAAAATGCTGCTGATTTACGAACTCAATTTGGGACAACCACCCAGTACTTCGCTGCCTATACTGCTTGCATAGGTAGCCGTGTGTATTCTCAAGCAATAGCTATTTACATAATTTATAGAGTCCACGTATAGAAGAGGACAAATATATTTAAAATGCGATATAGAAGAAGGAAAAGTACGGAGTAAAGGAATAACGAAATCGTATAAAAATATTCTTTGCAGGCGAAACACAAAGGAGCATAGAAACTCGTTTTGTTTTGACGTCATATGGCGTATCCAGCAGACCATGCTGTCGCATTTACTTTGGGAGTTCAACGAAACAAAACTTCGAAGCACGGAATAGGCGTGTGCCTCTTTTGAGACATTGTCATAACCTAAAATTGGTAATGGTTAGGGAGCACGCGACTTTATCGAAGAACAACCATCATGAAGGGAATTTATTTATGCGTACGATAATAAACGGAATGATTCACCATCTTTCCAATAGCGTTAAACTGTAATCAACTAAAAATAATACAATAAAAACAAATATATAATTATTTTTAAATCGTTTTTACTAATTACTGTGTACTTATTTTACAGTTGTAATCTGTTTTCATTAAGAAAATATATGTATATGAGATTTTGTGCATACACAATTATGTATTGGTAACCCTGGTATCTCTGGTTGACCCTCAATCAGGAGAAGTTTCAGGTGAGACGGAGACTACAAAAAGGCGAACATCTCTTCCTGCCGTTGACGTAACAAATAAACGTGGTATTTATTCACGCTTTGTTAGGCTTACTCCACATTCAAATGAATGTGCATACATTATTAGGAAGCGGATGAAAAACACGACATTCTGGAGGCAATCGCGTAACATCGATTGTCGATAACACAATTCCCATAGAATGGCGTGAATTCCGCAAAACACAAAAAGCTGTTGCGCATCGATAATGATATATTGCAATCAATGCACATGGATCTCACGATCGAATTGGTCGGAATGAGAAATAAATACGCGCATTGTTGGCGCCCCGATCGGGCGAGGTGAAAGTTCGGAGAACAAATAAATGGGCTCTTGTGGCGGCTCTTTCGATTCGAACCGCGATACAGACGTACCTTTTTATCTATTGATATTCGAAAATTTCACGCTCTTTAAAAGTTCTCTTTTTTTTTACGTTATTTTTTCGTTAGCACTCTATATAAATGTACTGCATTACTACTACTGCTAAAATATGGAATAAAGTGTGAAACATTTGAATAGTAATAAATAATCTCTCTTTAACTATCCGTCGGTCACACGACGTATTGGTGTCGCTAAGACTGCTTAAACGGAAAAGAGAAAAATAAGATAAGAAATATATTTATTAACAAGTATATGTACACAATAATTATTCTGAATTAAAAATAAAGTAATATATTTATAAATATATGAAATAATAATATTTCGGGACACATTAGTAAATAACGTTATGTAGTCCTTAACTATGCAAAGCATATACTGTGGCTATTAGGAAAATAATGTATATACTTAAACATACCTTTATTTTTTAAATTAATACCTTTTGTAGATATTTAAACACCGAGAAACAAAAAACACTATGTTCATTACACAATATGCTTCCTGTAATGGGGTTCAAATCCACACCCTCTGGCGCAAGTGACAGGTTCACTATGCACTAATTCGATAAGGTCGTCAATTACCTACATATAAGACGTAGATACCAGTGCACCGTTCCAACTTTGCAATTGAATTTCATCGAAACTTTAAAATTGAAAGCACTGCGAGTTGAACTTTCGGATATTTGCGATTAGGAACCAACGAACATTACATTTTTAGTTATATATGTTGAATTACTAAAAATGTAAAAATATAAAAAAATATCTCTCACCACTTATAACTATTTAGGTAGTATAGTTCTTTAACATTTAACTAATTAATGGGTTATTTTCAAGTATTTGCGGAGAATCTACATTTGTTGCTTATGTTATATATATTTGATTAAGGGTTTTTTTTTTAATTGAGCCGATAGTTTTGGTTGACATTTAAACAAACAAGTATTATAGGTTTACATTATATATTACATTATATACATATTAATTATTAGGTTAGTTCTATAAGATACTATTTCTTGTTTTTCTTTGATTATTTTCTGCCTGCCCATAATAACGACCGACATGCTTTTGCAATCATAAGGAGAAAAATAAACAGACGACTAGCGCGACAACCGAAAGTTACAAACAATTTTTTATAACACTTTCTCACACAGGCGCATTCGATTTTAATCCCAGTACGATGATGGGTGATTTTAGTTGCATAAAATTTACACTTTCACTCGCAATGCAATTCCATGCAAAATGATCGTATCAACATTTATGTAGCAATTAATGTGTGCGGATACTCGCAGTGTTCTGAACGCATGAACATCCTCCGGACTACCAGGAAATGCGCGCGTAATGGGGACTATTGTTTACATAACCTGTTTTCAACTTATATTTGTCTATAATTCATTAGGTTTTGTTTTACTTTTTTTCTTTTTATTAAAGGTATATTAATGTATTGAAATTATTGGCCAAGATTATCGACGTTGTTTTGTCTGCATCAAAAACGAATTTTTAAATGGAATAGCTATAACTTTTATCTTTACACCGATTATTTTTATCAAAAAAAAATCGACAGATTTATAGGTAAGAATCCAAAAGTTATTATTGTACAAATTAATTTTTAAGATTGATTACTTTAATTTCTACATATTTTTTAGGATAGACAGAGCGTCATCAGGGATCCGGTGATTATAAAATTGATGTTCAATGCTAGCGAGTGTGAAAGAGAAGACACTCGTTAATGTTTCTCCAAGTCGAGCAAAACAAAACATCTGACAGGCTCATTATAAAATCATTCGGTCGCCGACCTTTTCACTGTGGCAATGGGTGTTGTAATACTTAATATAACGGCTATTTTAAGAGTAACGCCATAATATACTTTCCAAAGTTGGAAAAAAAATATAGTTCATAAATGTATCTTTACAGGACAAATTAAAACGGACATGGTTTTAAGTGCTATCGCTAACTAAAGTTTTTAAAGTATACCAAAGATAGGATAAAAAAAGGAAAGGACAGTACACATGGTGGAATAAGAATAGGCGACATCAGTATTCTAGCAGCACAAGTAGAATTGGCCATTGTGAAACGAATAGAAAACACCGAAGTTGAAGGAAAAGTGAAACCGCCGTTTCTTTTTCCCGCTTTATAGCGGCTACCGAAAGAAGCGTGTTAAAATCCAAAAAATTATGTAAACGGGTCGGCGTGGTTGCTTTTACGCGCCATTGTTATATGGTTAATGTCAAATAATTTCAGAGTCAATGTGGCGTATCGAAAACAGCGACGTGATTTAAATTTTACATTTACAGCGTCCGGCGCGTACAAGCAATGCTTTGGTGGCGGAATTCAACTATGATAGCGTAAACGCAAATCTATTTACTTCATAACTTAGGTACATCAGAATTTGCTACAAAATTCCAACGAAAATTACATTATTCTCATAGGCGAAAATTATTTAATCAGAATTTTCCTGTGAAACACAGGATAGTTGTGAGTACGTTTTACAAACATAAATTTCACGCGGACAAACAGATGCGAAACAACTATGAACTGAACTTCTCTCTCTCTCTCTTTCTACCATCGAGTGGGTCGGCACAACATATTAATGATGTTGTTAATAGTATTAGCTAGCTTTTTTTTGCTGGAAAGGATATAACAATGGATGCATAAAAGTATATAAAAGACGTTAGATTTTCGTCGGTGTGGCAATCAGCCGTTTAGCTTAGTGGTTAAAGCGTCAGGCCGCGAATTCCGAAGACGTGGGTTCGATTCCCACAGCGGCGACAATCTTTTCGTACTTTTTCTACATATTTTTGTATTAGCTATGTTTTTTACATCCGGCCGCCTGCCTGACAAGAACTCTCCTTGAGAACAAACACTCAAATCCGGAAAAATTATCTGTGAGTCACACTCGTCTCGAATACTCGTCCCGTGCGGGAATCGAAACCCACGACCCAAGGCGCCGAAGCCAACGGCTTAACGACTGTGCTACTCCTATGATCCGAAAAACATATATCGATTTTGACATATTCATTTACAAAGAACGTAGATATATGGAGATTTTCGCGGTGTGAGTTGTCGGCCGCTTAGCTTAGTTGGTAAAGCTTCTGGACGCGAAACAAGAAGACTCAGGTTTGAATCCCGTAGTGACGAAAGTTTTTGTTCATTTATCTACAAAAATTTATAAATTAAAGTATTCATTTAATGTTCGTATATTACTTTTCTCTCGAGTCAGGCAAACCGCTCTAAGCGCGCCATAGCCGTAGCCACATCTCCGGTCGGCGCTCTACTACGTTAAAGATCGTGGTTGCTTAATGTTTCATATAGTTGGACTAAACTCGTTAGTTTCAACGCCTACGTTATATTCGTAGCACAATGGGTAATCTATTGTATTAGGGTTAGCACCGAACTGGTAAATTAGAAAGTGCCTAATTGAGTCAAGCTGCCTTTAGGCGGCCTTTCGCTCTTCCGTTTCCCACGGGCACATACGGAGGTGAAAGTAATTTTTGGATATTTTTTCATATAAATTATGTTCAAATTTTCTTGTTGTTATTCAGTTTTCGTCTTTCTTGTAAAGTGATTATGTTAGTTTTTTAATTATAAATAACTTTTTCGAAATTGGACAAACGTTTTGCAGAGTAATTAGTGTTATGAATATAACTTACTAGTTATATTCATAATACTTATTCGACATCTGCTTTATATGCAGTGATTGCCATGTAGGTAAATTAAAAGTTAAAGAGTAAGTCTATTATTTTGTTTCCATAAACACATATAATGAATATAATAAACATTATATTCATATTAATTGAAGCATAAATAATGTATGCAAATGTATAGAATATTTATATATAATAACTTATTGTATTGCATAATTTTCAATGATTATTTGAATATAATAGATCTACCTTCGGCCATCTTTAAAAACAGTATGTGATTGCAGTAATAATTTGTATATCTGTTGATAATATATAGCTGGTGCATGCATTTCTTAATGACAAGGCAATAATTGTGATTAGCGTCGATGTAACGATGTGTGAACGACCTTTACATTCAAACGCCAAATCACAATACGATTTCAATCTCTCCAACAATTCATTTCGAAAGTGGAATCTCTCAGATACATTTAAACGAAGAGTCTTTTTATTCAACATAAGATTGCCAGGCGTTGTTCCGGGAACTGTATCGCGTAAATAGACAGTTATATGGTCTAATAGATTGTGATATGGTGACAAACACGCGTACAATACAGGGAT